AGACCAGCCTGACCAACATGGTGAAAGCCCGTGTCTACTAAAAATACAAAAATTAGCCGGGCTTGGTGGCATGCACCTGTAATCCCAGCTACTCAGGAGGCTGAGGCATGAGAATCGCTTGAACCTGGGAGATGGAAGATGCAATGAGCCGAAATTGCACCACTGCACTCCAGCCTGGGTGACAGAGATTCTGTCTCAAAAAATAAATAAATAAATGAAAACAAAACAAGACAAAACAAAAAAAAACTACCTATCCAGTAGTTTTTTGACTTACTTACTATCTGGTACTGTGATTATTACCTGGGTAATGAAATCTGTACACCAAACCTCCATGACACACAGTGTACCTATATAACAAACCTGCATATGTACCCCTGAACCTAAAATAAAACTTAAACATGAGGTGGTCGGTTTGGCTCAATTCCAATGCCTAAGGGCAGACGAGAGCGCTGATTACTGTGTTAGTCCCTCAGGCTTAATACTGTTATTTAACATTCTCTGACCCTGGCCCTACAGCCCTTGGACAAACCTGAGGCCTGAGTGATAGGTGGCTGCCATTGGGGGCTGTGAATAAAATCCCAAAAGGAGTTTTTTTGTTTGTTTGTTTTGTTTCTTGAGATGGAGTCTTGCTCTGTCGCCCAGGCTGGAGTGCAGTGGCACAATCAGCTCACTGCAGCCTCTGCCTCCTGGGTTCAAGCGACTCTCCTGCCTCAGCCTCCTGAATAGCTGGGACTACAGGCACATGCCACCACCCCTGGCTAATTTTAGTATTTTTAGTAGAGACAGGGTTTCACCATGTTGGCCAGGTTGGTCTTGAACTCCTGACCTCAAGTGATCCTCCTGCCTTGGACTTCCAAAGTTCTAGGATTACAGGTGTGAGCCACTACACCTGGCCCTCAAGGAGTTTTATTAAAATAGTGTTGGGCAATGAGGATGCAAGCTATTGGGTACCACTGATTTCAGCAGTACTGATAGGATGAAGGATGGTGCCTGTGACTTTAATTCTTCAGTAATGGTAAATAGCACTGTTGGTATTAGCAGCAATAGGAGATGGCAATCTCAATGCATCAACATAAGGCAGTCTATGCTTTGGACCAAATGATATTGGGCCTCTGCAGCAGTGGTGGTACCTTTTGCCAGCTTTGGTGATGGTCCCCTTCGTGACTACAGAGAATTAAAGATAGCCACAATTTTTTTCTGCCACCCATCCCACCAAGAGGTGAAGTCTATTTCTGTTCCCCTTGAATCTGTATTGGTCCTTTGACTTACTTTGACCATTGGAATGTGGCAGAAATGTTGTGTGACTTCAAAGGCTGGGCCTCAGGAGATCTGCAATGTCTAACTTTGCTGATTGGGATATGCTGTCTTGGAATCCAATCTCCATGCTGTGAGGAAGCACAAGCAGCCACATGGAGAGTAGAACTGAAGTTTCTGCCTAACATCTCGTACCGGTTGCCAGCCGTGAGTGAAGCTGTTTTGGACTGGGCCATCCCAGCATCCCAGATGACATCACTGAAGCAGAAGAACTACTCAATCAACCCATGGAATCATTGAAAGTAATAAACTTCTGATGTTTTAAGCCATGAAAAAAAATTCCAGCATTGTTGGGTTAATGTTTAGAATATGTAAAGAAGTCCTACAACTCAACAATAAAGAAAACCCTGATTTTAAAATGGGCAAAAGACTTGAATATACATCTCTCCAAAGACGATGTACAAATAACCAATAAGCCCAAGAAAAAATGCTCAACATCTCTAATCATAGGGAAATACAAATCAAAACCGTGATGAGAAACCACCCCATGCCCATTAGGATGGCTGTCAAAGAAACCAAAAAAATCCCAGAAAATAATAGATGTTGACAAGAATGTGGAGAAATTGGAGTACTTGTGCACTGTTGGAGGGAATATAAAACAGTGTGGCAGCTGGGTGTGGTGGTTTACTCCTGTAATCCCAGCACTTTGGGTGGCTGAGGCGGGTGGATCATCTGAAGTCAGGAGTTCGAGACCAGTCTGACCAACATGGAGAAACCCTGTCTCTACTAAAAATACAAAAATAGCTGGGTGTGGTGGTGCACACCTGTAATCCCAGCTACTCGGGAGGCTGAGGCAGGAGAATCACTTGAACCCAGGAGGCGGAGGTTGCAGTGAGCCGAGATCATTCCATTGCACTCTAGCCTGGGCAAAAAGAAGGAAACTCTGTCTCAAAAAAACAAAACAACAACTACAACAACAGCAAAAAAACCAGTGTGGATGCTGTGGAAAATATGGTAGTTCCTCAGAAAATTAAAAGTTGAATTATCATACGATCCAGCAATTCTACTTCTGGATATATGCTTAAAAGAATTTAGAACAGGGACTTGAAGAGATATTTGTACACCTATGTTTACAGCAGCAGCATTTGCAATAGCCAAAAGGTAGAAGCAACCTAAGTGTTAACCAACAGATGAATGGATAAACAAAATGTGGTATATACATATAATGGAATTTTATTCAGCCTTAATAAGGAAGGAAGTTCTGACACATGCTACAGCCTGGATGAAGCTTTAGGACATTTTGCTAAATGAAGTAAGCCTGTCACAAAGGGCAAGTACTGTATGATTCCAGTTACATGAGATACTTAGAATAGTCACCTCCATGGAGATAGAAACTAGAATGGTGGTTGCTAGGGGCTGGGAGAATGGGGAGTTGTTTGATGGGTATAGAGTTTCAGTTTGCACATTTTTTAATGGGGTTATCATTGTTATTGTTGAATTGTAGAACTTCTTTACACATTCTGGATATCAATGTCTTATTAGATATATGATTTGCAAATATTTTCTCCCATTCTGTGGGTTGTTTTTTCATGCTGTTGATAGCATCCTGGGATACACAAAGTGTTTTAATTTTCATGAAGTCCAACTTATCTATTTTTTTTGTTGTTTTCTGTGCTTTTGGTGTCACATTCAAGAAATCATTGCCAGAAAAGAAAAAACAAAACAAAACAAGAAATCATTGCCAAATCCAATGTCATAAACATTTTCCCCTTTGTTTTCTTCTAGCGGTTTTATAGTTTTAGCTCTTATGTTCGGGTCTCTGATCTCATTAAGATTTTCAGCATGAACAAATTATGCGTGTGTCAAGGTTGTGTTTGACTCTAAAATGAGAACATTAAATTCATATTAAATGATTGGGTGTGGTGGCTCATGCCTGTAATCCCAGCACTTTGAAAGGCCAAGGCAGGTGGATCACCTGAGGTCAAGAGTTCAAGACCAGCCTGGCCAACATGATGAAACCCTGTCTCTACTAAAAATACAAAAAAAAAGTTGTGTGGTGGCAGGCATCTGTAGTCCCACCCAGCTACTTGGGAGGCTGAGGCAGGAGAGCCACTTGAACACAGGAAGTGGAGATTGCAGTGAACTGAGATTGTGCCACTGCACTCCAGCCTGGGCAACAGAGTGAGACTCCATCTCAAAAAAATAAATAAAATAAAATAAATATATATAAATGACAATTACCTGAATCATAGTGTTTGTTGCCAAGTTATTCTAATTGTGATGAAGAGTAAAAACAAAAGTTTGGTGTCAGTATGTTTGGCCATCTGAGTGTCAGTCTTGATCTGCCTGCCATTACTAGTTGTGTAGTTTAGGCAAGTTACTTCATGTCTCTGTCGAAGAAGTTTTTTTCCTTTTTGCCTGTAAAATGGGGTTAATGGTGGTAGTAACTAACTCATAGGATTATAGTGAAGTTTAAATGAGGATATATATATATATGTGTATATATATATATTTTTTTTTCTTTTTACTTTTCTGTCTGTCTCCCCCATTAAGATGTAGGTTCCATGTTTTGCTTACTCTACTGTCCACACATAGGGGAGGAGGGCTAGCACAGGGCTTGGCATTAAGTATGAATGAAAAACTTAAAAATGACTTGTGAGTGATCAAGCAGTCTCATCCACAGTTAATCTCAGCTGTTACTTAGCTCTTTACTCTGCTTCTCACCTGTCCATCTACTGTCTCTTACCACATGGATTAAGTGCTCTGTTACATAATCAAGATTCCCCTCTTACCTTGCTCTTCAGTTTTTTCCAGCTCCTCCCTAAACATGCCAACTAAATCGTCCTGTTTTAAAAATCCATCCCCTTTTCACATCTACTATTGTGTTAGACAATGGACTAGGTATTCAAAGGCAACTGAGTTCATTAGTTTCATGTATTGGGCATCAAATCCTTGGTGCAAGTCATTGTTGTATGGTACATCGGCTGTGCATTTATTAGTAACCGGTGGTTAGGAAGTTAGAGACAGTAACCCCAGGAAATTAGAGTATACCCCAGCTTATTACATATTATCTCAAATTGTTTTTAGCTATCTAAATCACGAGGTTTTTTTTTTTTTTTCCTACCTACATACTATGGTAGGAAAGTGTACCTACCAGTTTTCAGTTTCTGCTTTGTGAACTTTGTGAGCAGTAGCCACAGTTATCTCCCCAGCAATACCATAACTTCCAAAGGGAGCACATTCGTCACCAGATCCTGAACTTTTTTTAGCTACATCTTCTACCGGGAAAGCAACAGAAAGAAAAACAGGGCTTTTTGGCTTGGGGATATCTTGTCCACTTGGAGAATTAGCATGGTGGGGACTTAGAGTATGTTTCTGGAATTTCCCATCTGCAGGAACAGCAATGGGCCCTTGCACTGCAGCATATTTCTTCAAGACATCTGACGAAACAACAGCATGCCCAGGAAGAGGTTCCCATTCCTGTGCTTTCTGAACATTTGAGCCTACTAAGATAAAAGGTGGGGCACTGATCTTTGCGTCGTCCATCACATAAATTGGAGAAGTGACTGTTGGTGGATGCTGCAGAAACTGCAGATCCTTAGGATTAGATATGTAGAGGGTTGCTTGGGGGAAAGGCCCAGGTGCAGGTGGCGGTGATGAGTGACTTTGTTGATTCTTATCAGTTAGACAATAAAGTGTCCACATGTTAGAATATGATGGTGGCTGTTCTGGTTCACTTGCTGCCATTGCTGGCTTCATCAAACCTTATTCAGCTGTTGCTTCCCCTTCTGGTTCGATTTCTGGTGCAGTAAGACCTTCTGGAGCAGAAGGGAAGGGGCCACTAGATGATTTTACAGATGTACCTGAGTACCCTGCTTCTGCAGCTTCCCCAGAGATCACAGGTTTGCCTTCCATCTCCTGGGGTGCAGAGTTTTCCCCAGACTCTTCCTGCCCAGTTTTGTCAGAGACTATTGAAGTGATCACCACTTCAAAGTGCAGAGATTTTTCAGAGCCTATTTTGATAGTGCCCTCTGCATCCAGGGGTTCTTCAGGTACCTCAAGCTGACCTTTCAAAGATGTGTCTGAGAGCAGAGCTGTTGCTTCTGCCTCCATATGTACTGAGGAATATTTTTCATTCTCTTCTAACTGTGCAAGTTTTACAGATTCTACAGATTTTTTAGACATGCCAGAGGTTGTCTTTTCTACTACAGGTTTGGGACTAACTGGTGGTGACTGCTCATTTTCTTTAAGACAAGCAACTTGATCAGTGAAAGGGATAACTATTTGTTCTGGCAGTTGCTTGACATAAACTACTCCTTCGGTCGTAGGCACATCATTATAGATAGATGATATATGAACAGTTGACATAACGTCAATATCAGCCTGCAAAGGGACCTCAGGAGCTTGATCATAAGCAGGAGGTTCTTGTTCATCCTGCAAGGGGATTGAGGAAGCCGTTGATAGTTCGGCCTCATTTTCTTTAGGTTGAGAACCCAAATCTACATGGACAGATGGTTGGCTCACAACGTGCACTTCTAGTACCTTTCCAGAATACACAAGAGGAGCAGCCACCATGACATCTTCAGCAGCCTCTGAGCTCGGCACCTCCTTGATAACAACAGGCATACTGGTTGCCACATCCACCATTAAAACATCGGATTGATCAAAATGAATAGATGAAACTTTACCTAACAGCTGAGCGGCAAACTGAGCTGGGTCAGCTGGGACAGGCAAACTCTGGTGAGACAGCTGTTGGAGGTGGTGAGGAGGGTGGGGTAGTAGTCTTAGGGGTAGCTGGTTTGGGAGAAGAATCATGAACTGCCTCAGTTTGCTCAGCGCTTAGCTCAGCATAAGTTGATGGAAACTGGGTGGTTTTGTCACTATATCCTGTTCCGGTTACATTGTCCTCCTCTGTGTCTGTAGATTTTTCCATCCGTGTAGGTACTTTAGATTCTACAGATGTTTTTTTCTGGTTCTTTTAAACATTCTACTTTCTTCGGTCATATTGATCCTTCTGACCACTTCTGTACTTTAATCTGATAAAACTGTTTAACCAGATCCTTTATATCCAGAGAAGTATTCCCTTCTCTATACATAATAAGTTCTTTAAAATAAAATACTGCAAACTGGTTGATGTTTGATGGGTTGCTTTTGATAGTGGCTCTGCTAATTCCTTTGAGTAGAGTCTTGAGGCCATAGGGTATGCCAAATCTGGATGTTGAAGAAATCATTTTGGCAGGATGTCTGTAACTCAACTTCTTTCCGGCTGCGTTCTTAAGAGCTTCCTCGTTGCCCGCTTGCGGATAGCTCCTCTAAATGAGGATATATACATAAAGCCTTCTATAGCCTCATTTATAGAAAGAAGGTAAGAAATGTCAAAAAAAAAAAAAAAGCTATTATTTAGAACTTGAGAAGATGTAAAACAGAGGAAAAAAAGCCTGTTAGATGGAAACATGCTTAATTTGGAACCAGAGAGGCAATTTCTTGTATAATACAGTATGTGGCATCTTACATTCTTTAGTAGGTCTTATGGTCTGGCTAGGCCATTGTTACCTTCACGTTGGCATTTATTACTTGGAACTATTAGGACCCTATGTGGTGTGGTGTTTGTTGGTTTGTATGTCTGTCTCCTCCATGGGTATTTATCAACTACTCTGTGCCAGGCTCTATGGCATTTAGGATACAGAGATGAAAAGACAGAGCCCTTAACTTCAAGGAGCTCATAGTCCAATGAATGACAGCTAAATAAAGAGGTGATAATAATACAGTGAGGAGAAGATTGTTTGAAGTTCAAGCAAAGGATCAATAACTTTGGTAAGCTCTCCATGTGCTAGGATTGGTAGATATCAGTTACCTGCTGAATATTTTCTGAAGGACCAAAAGAATAGCTCCCAAATCAGCTGTCTGATGAAAGTCAGAGCTGTCACCTCTCTCTGGCTAGCCTAGTGAGATACCCAATACCTGCACTTAGATTTCTGGTCTATAGTTTGAGAAGCCATGCTTGGGAGAGCTTTCAGTGCAGTCACTTTGTCCAGCAGACTAGGAACACAGGCTTTCTGGAAGGTTTATCCTCTTTCTGGGAATCTGGGCAGAAATCATTTTTTTTAAAAGTAAAATGTGGGAGCCAGCAGAGAGATGGCAGGGAAAGTGGATAGAAGCTGAGGAATAAACAGGTTTCTAGTTTCAGTGCCTCCAACCAGATGGAGTCATACTGCATGGGGATGAGTTCTTTTCCATAAACCTGTTTCTCCTGCTTACTGGGCAGAGCCAGGCAGTTGCTATGTTGAGTGGAAGAGGAGCTGTGCCGGGGCTCAGGGTCTGTCCAGCTGGTTTTCAACTCTAATTCCTCAACAGAGCCTCCCCAGGCCTGTGCTCCTGCTCTGGGGCTTAGAACTGAGGGGATGGCATGAGGCGGGCATCTTCTTATTCAACCAGATAGTGCCTTTCATGTCTATAACCCCATAGACCAACATAGAATTTGATACAGGAGAGGAGATCTAAAGTGAATATTTATTGAATAAATGACTTAATAAAGCCTGGGTAGAAGGCTTTTTTTCACTTGTGATACTGTCCCTTTTTGTTCTTCAAGTGGGAGGTACAAAACACAGTTATCAAGCTCTTACTGGTTGGCAGACACTGTACAGGCATTATCTTTTGTGAACTTCATAGAAGCCTTATAAAGTAGATATTAGTATTCCTGTTTTATAGATGAAAAATATGGGGATTGGGATATTTATAGACTAAGGTTAACAACTACTGTCTGGTGAGGTTGAATTCAGGTTCACCTGTCTTCAAAGCTTGTGATCTACATTGTAGCACTTTGCTCAGTGGGAGAGTTTACACTCACTTAGAATACCAAACTGATGAGGAGATTCCATGGAGAGTCTTTGAAGAAAGAACAAACCCTGCAGCCTGAGCCATCGTGTGTGTGTGTGTGTGTGTGTGTGTGTGTGTGTGTGTGTGTGTGTATGTATGTATTTTAAGACGGAGTCTCACTTTGTCACCTAGGCTGGAGTACATTGGCGCAATGTTTGCTCACTGCAACCTCCACTTTTCCACTTCCCAGGTTCAAGTGATTCTCCTGCCTCAGCCTCCTGAGTAGCTGGGACTACAGGTGCCTGCCACCATGCCTGGCTAATTTTTGTGTTATTATTATTATATTTAGTAGATATGGGGTTTCACCATTTTGGCCAGGCTGGTCTCAAACTCCTGACCTTATGCTCCACCCGCCTTGGCCTCCCAAAGTGCTGGGATTTCAGGTGTGAGCCACTGCGCCCAGCCTCAAATATAAATATTTTTAATTTAAAAAGTTTTTAACTGACAGATAAAACTGTATGTATACAGTGTGCAACATGATATTCTGAAGTATGCGTACATTGCAGAATGACTAAATCTAGCCAGTTAACATATGCATCACCTCACATAGTTACCATTTTGGTGGTGATAACACTTTATATCCACTCTCTTGGCATCTTTCAAGAATGCAATATATTATCAACCATACCTATCATGCTGTATGATGGATCTCTTGAACTTATTCCTGCTTTCTAACTGGGATTTTCCATCCTTTGACCAACATCCCCCTAACTACCCTTGCCCCCTGCCAACCACTCTAGCCCCTGGTAGCTGCTCTTTCACTCTCCACTTTTATGAGATCAGTTTTTTTTTCAGATTCTACATGAGTGAGCTCATACAGTATTTGTCTTTCTGTGCCTGGCTTATTTCACTTACAATGTGCTGTAGGTACAACCATGTTGTCACAAATGACAGGTTTTCCTTTTATTTTAATGGTTGAATAGTATTGTGCGTATATACATATATATATATATATATATATATATATATATATCACATTTTCTTTATCCATTCATCGATAGACACTAAGTTGATTCCCTGTCCTGACAATTGTGAATAATATAGCAATCAACATGGGAGTACAGGTATGTCTCTGACATGCTGATTTCATTTTCTTTGGATACACAGTAGTTCCCCCGCTGGCATCCAAGGTTTTGCTTTTCAAGTTTTTAGTTATTCACAGCCTGAAAATATGAAGAGATTTTGAGAGAAAGTGATGGGGGGAGGAGGAGGGAGGGCCAGAGAGAGAGAGAGAGAGAGAAAGACAGAGCGTGCGCAGAGGCTGCATTCATGTTGCTTTTATTACAGTATATTGTTATAATTGTTCTATTTTATTATTATTTATCATTAATCTCTTACTGTGCCTAATTTACAAATTAAACTTTATCATAGGTATGTATGCATTGGAAAAATATAGTGTATATAGGGTTTGGTACTATCTGCTGTTTCAGGCATCTTGGAACTTATCCCCTCTTGAATAAGAGGGGACCACTATGTACTCAGTGTTGGAATTGCTGGATCAAGTGCAAATCTTTAATTAATACAGCTACAGCCTGGTTGGGATTCTCCCCAGCTACTAAGAAAATGAGTCTGCATCACCTCTCAGGCACTGAGGAGACCAGCTGGGCAAGATCTTCAAAAGCTAGTGATGGGGACCAGAGCAAAGGCAGGAGTGTGCCGAGTATACAATGGCTTAGCCATGCAGTGGAATGGCTGGGCTCAGAAATGCTAGCTATTGGAATTGGATTTTCTCAGCCAATGAGAATATCTACTTGGGGCTATTTGCTTTTAAGCCTAATTAAAAATGATCCCAGGTCAAATTCTATCTGGAAAGTTGGCCATTGAGTACCAAAGTGATACTTTAAGTAAATGTAGCAAGCTCTGAAGGGAGCTAACATCCCAGCAACTGACTCTTACCGTATGCTGGCTCTGCCTTCAAGGTTCTCAGGGTTGCCGTCATTTTTTGTTTGTTTGTTTGTTTGTTTTTCTGCCTCATCCTTCTTCAAGTTGCCATGGTTTTTTTTTTTTTTTTTTGAGACAGAGTTTCACTCTTGTTACCCAGGCTGGAGTGCAATGGCTCGATCTCGGCTCACCGCAACCTCCGCCTCCTGGGTTCAGGCAATTCTCCTGCCTCAGCCTCCTGAGTAGCTGGGATTACAGGCACGTGCCACCATGCCCAGCTAATGTTTTGTAGTTTTAGTAGAGACGGAGTTTCACCGTGTTGACCAGGATGGTCTCGATCTCTTGACCTCGTGATCCACCCGCCTCGGCCTCCCAAAGTGCTGGGATTACAGGCGTGAGCCACCGCGCCCGGCCTGTTGCCATGGTTTTATTTGTCATTTTAGGGAGGGAAAGAGGGAATTAATTGGATATTTCCTTCCCCAAGTAAGGAAAAGGAACATTACTTATTTTTTCTCTTCAAATCAACCTAAAGACAAATCGTGGCTGGGAGACTTTGATATTGAGATGTAGATTCCAGAATCTACTTGTTTAGTGTCTTATTTTTCCCATTTTCAAAGTTGGGGTGCAGCTGAGATGTGGAACCTTGATCTGGAAGTCACAGCCCCTAGAGCTCATCTGGACTCTGGCACTAATTGACTGGGCATCTTAGGCCTCTCTGGCTTTCAGGGCTGGACTTAATGAGATGTAAGAACACTTAATAACTACCATAGCCCCATGCTTCTTGAAGCTAGTGAAGGATGACAGCATCCCTTGAACACTACTAATGCTGAAAGGAGAAGCAATCACAGTCCCTTGGTGGGCAGGCCTTGGGACTTTAGGACTATCCAAAGAGAGGGAACTGATGCAAGATGCTATAACCTTAGAGTCAGAGACGGAAATGATGCTTATCTTAATGAGCAGCTCATCTGGAGGGACTCTAATGGTCTTGGGTGGGAACAGGAGGCTGGGGGTGAGATCTCAGCTACGGGAGCCTGGGAGGTGGGTGACTAACTACTCTTTGCTCATTCCAGGTGCTGCACAGTGTGTCCAGCCTTGTGGGATCTGTTGTGGGCAGTGACTGAAGTCTCCGAGGTGGAGGGCAGTTGCTGAGTTGGGTATGCAGCAGGTGCAGAAGCTGGATCCCGGAGCCCTATCAGTGGAGTGGCTTTTTAGTTCATGAACAGTTTCCTCATTTTAATTGGCTCTCTAGGGCCCTGGGAGTAGCACTTGCACCCCAGAACAGGACCCGTTACTGGGAGAGCAATTCCCCTGGTAATGGAAAGGAGGCAGGCTGTGGTTTGCGGGAGGTGCTTGCTGCTGCCAGTGCTGCTTGGAAAGCTATAGCTAGAACAGATATGTTGAGGATGGGAGCTCGAGATGGCTGTGAGTGATGGACGGGGTCTTGGAGGGGCCTCTTGTCTGCTGGAACTGTCTGATTTAAGGGGGACCTGTCAGGGTTGAGTGCTGTGGAGGCCAGAAGGCAGGGAAGGCCCTTAATCTTGAACCCCTCACTGCATAGGTGAAGCATC